GGAGATGTTCTTGGCTGTCTCGAATGTACTGGTTCAGTTAGGGATTTGGGGTTTCCTTGGTTCTCTTGGATCGGCGAAACAGCCAATGGACCAGGTCCTTTGTTGGTCTTGGATTTGGCGAATAGGCATTATCCTGTGTCCCGTCTCCTGTGGGACTGGATGTGCGGGAGCAGAATTGGAATTCAAATCAGATAGAAATTGTGTTGAGGTATGCTGGTTTTTCCAGAATGTGCCTCCCAATCATGTTAAATCTCCTTAACCACAGTGGGTTTCCGTCTTCGTTGATTCCAAATATTAGAGTAGTTTAGATACACCCGCAAAAAAAAAAGTAGATTAGATATGTGGAAGAAAGCTTCGTGAGGGATCACCTAGGTGGATCCGTGTGCAAAATGACATGATTTAAGGCCTAATATGTTTCTTGAGTGATTGACTGTTATAGTAATCTTGACAAAAACAAGTGTGTTAAAAAGCCTAATTAGAGAATTACACAGAATATCTGACCTTATTACTGTGATAAATTTTGGTTCAGTCATAAAGAGGATTGTAGAAATCACTTTGGGATGACAATGCAGGGAGAAACATTATGACTGAACTCGCGCTTCTTCAGAAAACAGGAGCATCCTTTTGTCTTACACTGCATAGCGATAGGAAATAGTATGGTAATTTCCTTATGTGGTTTAGGTGCATTTTTGGCACCAGCCTGTCAGTATCAGCAATCAAGTTAGTCCGCAACATTTTTGCTTGGCAGTTCTCCTCAACTTAATAGATATCTAGAGTAGAATAGATTTACTGCAACTGTGCTGTGTTTGTGTTGTTTGTGTTATTATTTCAGCATCTTAAGTATTCCCTTCTATTTTATATTGGTACATCACACTTGCAGTAACCATTTGGTCTAAAGGTGCTATTATTCTTATGGTTCATTTGAGACAACATTTGACCATTAAAATACAAAGGTAGATTTATTTCTCAAAATAAGAACATCTGCCTGCCTAAATGCTGCTTGTGGATTTAAGTTCTTGCACTTGCTTTATGCTCCTTGTTGAATAGAACTTCTTCAATTCTGCATGTGCAGGCCATTATAAATGTCAAGTACTTCGCATCCATTTCATGTGTTTTTCTTGTATTCCTGACAGCACGAATGTGCATTCTTCTTCTGATGCTATTTTTTCTGCAACATTGCTCTGGTGCAGTTCTCCCTTGCATCTGGACCAGCAGCTTGAACTGGAGTGAGCTGATGGAAGCTGAAAGAAGCCAGCTTAGTCCAATCGACCCAAGAAGAGCTCGGTTTCCTTGTTGCATAGTGTGGACTCCCATACCCTTCATCACATGGCTGATGCCATTTATCGGTCACATTGGCATTTGCAGAGAAGATGGTGTAATCTTGGACTTTGCCGGTCCAAATTTCGTGTCAGTTGACAACTTTGCCTTTGGAGCTGTTACACGCTACATCCAATTAAATGGTGATGAGGTCTGTACTTTGTGGTTTATATACTAATATTTACGCAGCATTCAAATCTCAAATCATACTATTACTCACAAGCCGTTAATCTCTTGTCACACGCAGTGCTATAAACTTCTTGACACCGGCGCAGAGACGACATGGGATGGTGCTCTGAGGAAAGGCGTGCAGGAGTTTCAGAACAGGAACTACAACCTGTTCACCTGCAACTGCCACTCCTTCGTCGCCAACAACCTGAACCGGCTCTTCTACGCCGGCCACGACAAGTGGAACGTGGTGAGCCTGGCCGCGGTGATGTTCCTTCGGGGCCGCTGGGTGAGCGCGGGAGCCGTGGTGAAGACCCTGGCGCCGTTCGTTGTGGTGCTCGCCCTTGGCGTTCTCCTCGGCGGCACGACGTTCTTGCTCGGTCTCCTCGCCTTCGCAGCCGTCATGGCCGGGTGGTTCCTCGTGGGCACCTACTGCATCAAGGGCCTTGTGGAGCTGTAGCTGCAGCACACCGGGCTTGAGTTTGGATTGGGGACTTGGGGGGTCTCCTTGTGATTCCTTGTGCCTTAACCTTGTCTTTAACTTGTGCATCTTCTCATAACCTTGTACATCTAACAGTAATCGTGCTGCAATTAGTGTTGAATCCAAGATTAATTGCAATTAATGTTGTTTCCAAATCAGGATTAATGTAATTAATGTTGTTTCCAGATTGTCGGTGGTGTGAGGAACATATCAGGTACGGAGTGTGCTTTCTTATAAGCAAGTACTCCCTCCGTCCCACAATGAGCGGGAGTAGTTCTTTGATTGAAGTCAAACTTATAGTAACATTATGAACATTTACAGTAACAAATTTATATGATGTGAAAGTAGTTGCAATGATGAATCCAATGATATTATATTTGATGGTGTACATGTTAATATATTTTTCTACAAACTTGTTGAAAGTATATAAAGTTTGACTATAGACAAACTTAATATGTGGAGTAAATAAAAATGAAGGAGTACTAGATAGATGAGCGATAATGGTATTTTTGCCTGTCTTAGAAACTACTCTCTCCATCCCATAATATAAGAGAAGGAGGGAGTAGTTGCCAAATCTAGACGGCCTCAGCGCGTTAATTGGGACCGGATTGTGTCCAAATTTACTTTAGTTATATATAGATTTTCTAGGTCATCCTATATAGATAAATAGTTTTTTGCTAATAGAATATGGGAAAAGCTTGTGAACAGCCCGTTGATCCAACACCGCGCGTCCGCCGCCTTGAGTGTGTGACGCGTGTCCCATGCGTGGCCCGCAACTACATCTTTACTGTAATTTTTCTACAATAACATCTGTGTTGCAAAAGTATCTTCCGCAACAACACCGGTGTTGCAAAAAAGTGGATACGGAAAAAAAAATATGCAACAAGACGCGTGTTGCAAAAAATATATGCAACAAGACCTCTGTTGCAAAAAAAAAAACCACAAGACCTCTCCTGCAAAAAATATTTTTGCAACACTAACCTCGTTGCAAATATTTTTGCAACAAGACTTGTGTTGCAAAAGGAAACTTGCAACACACTCTCTGTTTCAGAAATGAGGACAACACTAAGCCATGAGATACAATGGATCTGACGACTTGCAACAGAAAGCACATGTTCGCTGGTACGACACGTGCCCCACGTGACATGTGCCCCTGACTCCTCGTGACCCTTCTCTAATTTTTCTGCAACAAGTCCAATGCTGCAGAAGTTTCTCCTGTAACATAATATATGTTACAAAAAAGTGAAGACAATTTTTTCAACAAACCTCAGTTATAAAAAAAACTGAAACAAGACTTCAATTGCAAAAAAAACAACTGCAACACAGACTATGTGTTTCAGAAAAGTAAATAGCGGTTCCGACGTTTTGCAACAAGCATCCTGTTGCAGGACTTGTTCCGCAACACCGCCCTTGTTGCAAAAGGGAGGTGGCGCTTGTATGTGGGTTAATAGGATGGACATCCCCGCATCCATCCGACGGCCAGCAAAGCGGTGGATGTTTTCTAGCTATCTGTCGGCGGACGCGTAGCGTGACCCATCGAATCTTACATTCTTAAAAGGTTGGTCCCAATTCTCTCAACATGCAAAGTGTCCACTTCATCATCCCACTAAGCAATGAATTTAAGTCTTCTCTCCCACTAAGCCATGCAAAATCTGCCACATAAGCGAGTCATGCATTTAACTTATAAATTACATTTTTTTGCATTAGTCTATTCATGTAATGCGGTCACATCATATATTCATGTTAGTCATCATTAACATGTTTGTTCGAAATGACATATTTAATTGTAATCAAATCTTACATTCTTAAAAGGTTGGTCCCAATTCTCTCAACATGCAAAGTGTCCACTTCATCATCCCACTAAGCAATGAATTTAAGTCTTCTCTCCCACTAAGCCATGCAAAATCTGCCACATAAGCGAGTCATGCATTTAACTTATAAATTACAATTTTTTTGCATTAGTCTAATGCTGCCACATCATATATTCATGTAATGCTGCCACATCATATATTCATGTTAGTCATCACTTAGTCATCATATATTCTATTTTAGACATTTTCTTTTATTGACTTTCAAGCTTATACTTTCTTTTCATTAGATTTAGTTATTTTTGTCAACTACTTACACATTTTTTAACAAAGTTACCGCAGCAACGTGCGGGGAGAGAGTCATCCTCACTACTCTATTTCAGAATTACACATTAAATCCAATTCATCTTCTGCTGCAAAATAGTTCTTATTTTTATTTTCTTACTCTTTTTCTCCTTTCACCCCTCTCTTTCAAATTGTTTATTACGCTACCATCCCGCTGCAATGTGCGTGGTATTGTCTAGTATAGATAAATAGTTGATCTTACTATCTATGATAACGTTTGTAAGTGCATCTAGTGCATCTTAGTGATTTTGGTGTATTGAAGACTTATAGATTAAGGGACTAATATGTTTGTGAGTGTACACAGACTCTATAAGTCGATGAGGAGTTTGATATTTACGATCAAAGTTGACCCCTAAAAATGAATGTCTTCAGCTGAAGACTTTGGTCTCCTGAAGATTTTGAAAGTGAAGAATGGTGTGACCTTGAATACTTGAATATTCATGCGAGGATTATGGAGCGTGAAGACTTTTGTTTTAGTAGTTTCATTTTCTCCTTCTTGAGTCATAGGAAACACTGTACTATTAAAGGGGGTCGAGGTAATACTAAGAAAACTGATTTCCAAGTGATGCTTATCTCAAAATCCTACACCTACCCAATCCTTTCGAGTGAAGCCATTGAAAATCTCATATCAGTTCAAAATCCTACACCTACCCAATCCTTTCGAGTGAAGCCATTGAAAATCTCATATCAGTCCAGTCAATTTCTTCAGTGATAGAGACGTAGATCTTCTGGTCTCTAAGGAATTTGTTCTGACTGAGGAATTAGGAATTTGTCAGTGCGGATTGCCTACACAGTGAGGAACATGATAGTCCTAAGGAATTTGAACCTCATATTTCTGACTGTTGCTGTGCTATGCGCCAGCTGTCCAAAATATCTACCCACCTAACGGTCATATCATTAAAGAGCATTTATGTCTTATCATGTCGAGCTGCTCCGTAGGCTATAAATAGTCATCCCCCTGCAATCACTAGCTGGTTGGCTGCTCCGAGAGAAACTGATATTTGTCATTGAGAGCATCCCATCCTCCAAGGACTTTGAGCAAAAATCATCAAGTGAGGAAAAACCCAAAACTCAAACCCAAACACCTACAAACCCAAAGTGATTGAGCATCACTGAAAAGATTGTTCCTGTGTGGAACCGACACTTGTTACCTTTGAGGACTGTGCATCCTCCAAACGGTTAGGCGTCATGGTCTGAACATCCAAGAGAAATTGTGGATCGCCGAGTGTCCAAGTCTGTGAAGGTTTGGAAGTCACCTGAAGACTTACCACGGGTGACTGGGCGAGGTCTGCGTGACTTTAGCTCAAGGAGAATATAGTAAGGACTGTGTGTCCTCGAGTTTAAATACTCAGCCACTCCAACCAGACATACTGTCACAACAGTTGGAACTGGTCTACCGAATCATTGTCTTCACCAAGCCAACTGGTTTTATTTTCTCAACCCTTTCATTTCCTCATTCATGTGTTGATGAACCTGATCATTACTGTTTGAAGACTTTGACTGACGACTTTCTCTAATTCCTCAATCATATTTCTCCAGTCTCAAAGTCTTCAGCCTGCTTATCCCGTTTTCATGCTACCTGTACTCTGTGCTTGTTTTTATTTCATCATGATGACTATACTGTTGCTCTGTTATGTTTATACCTGAGTAATTATTCCGCTGCTAGTGTGTCGTTGCTTAGGAACTTCTTCATCTAGGAATTCCTCAGTGATGAATTTGTAAGAATCGCCTATTCACCCCTCTCTAGTCGATATAACGCGCTTTCAATTGCACGCAAAAGGCTCCTTTGTAGGTTTGGGAGGTTCTCACTCCAGTCAGTTTGCCTTCAGCACACAAATGCGACGCGCTAGTTAGATTAATATTCAACAGTCTTTCTTTCTTTTTCTTCCAGCTTTGGTCCTCAAACCGCCCCCCTCCCCACCCACACACACATAATCAACTTAGCCAAATTGCAAATTCAGCCAACTTGCATATATTATCTCCAACCCAAATTATTCGCTTTAGATTTTTGTAGACAACGATGTATCTAACGGTAAAACATGCCTAGATACAGATGTTTAACAACTGATTCTTCATACGCCTCTACTAAAAATGCGCCATGTCCATCGCTAAAGGCCCTGTTTGGAACACAGGAAGCTTGTCCAAACCAGAGAAAACCGAATTCACGGTGAAATATATCCGTTCAAAAGTTGGACTTTTGGTTTTGTTCAAATGAAACAGATCATTTAGTGATCTAAATGATCTAAATTCCCAGCAGGTCACCATCGACTACTGACCGCCGTCCGATGGCGACAATGGGGGGCCCCACCCCCCGGATCGGACGGCGGAGGAGCGCCGGTGGCCGGCCGCGACGCATGGTGGAGCCCTGTTGGAGTCCAGGGAGACCGAAAGAGGACGAGAGCGAGAGACACACACGCGCACAGTCACACGCAGAGAGGGAGAAAATAAAGGGGGCTCGTCGGGCTCGCGCAGGGCCGAGAGAGAGAGAAAAAAAAGAGAGAGCTCGCTCATTCCCATTCCCATCCCCCCACCCCCTCCCCTCGTCGGAGCTGCGCCGCCGCCGCCTCCCAATCCGCCGCCGCCGCCCATGTCAAAGACGCCGGGGAAGACGCCGCGGACGCCCAGGCGGATCCTGGAGTCCTACACCATCAAGGGATCCGACGGCGTCATCCGCCGTGAGCCCTCCCCTCCCTCCCCTCCCCTCCCCCCGATTTCTCCGTTCGTGATTCCAGTCCGGTCCGGTCTAGTTTGCTTCCGAGATTTTTTCGGCGGATTTTCGGGTGCCCGGGCGGGATTGCTCCGATTTCGACGGGTTTGGGGGGCCGGGGTCATGCCAGATGCAGAATCTGCACTCCCCCCCTGGGAAAAATATATCTGGTGCTAGCATGCCGTACATCCTGAAATGGTCCGAGCATGCTGTAAATCCTGGTGTCTTCTTTAATTTTACCGCTTTGGTTTCTTAATCTACTTACCCTTGAACATTCGGGGAAGGCACTGTCAGTCCAGAACTGGGGTTAAGCTGGATTTGGGCTTTAGCAGGGTTAGTTAGTGTCTTCTTTATATCATTCGGATTAACACTCACTCCCGAGTATGCACATGGAGCTGGAGGACTTAAGAGTAGCTCTGTCGGCTGAAACCCTAAAAGCTTATCTTTGGGTACAATGTAAGTCCTTTTGCTAACCGAGCCAAAAGGATTATGATGGGAGGTTATGTGGAGGCTGATCCTAGGCTGCACACCTTGTATTTCTTGTGCTGAAATTCCTCAGTTCAGGATGTCGGCGGCAATAGTTCGCCGTAAAGTGTGATAACCTTGTGCCATATCAGTTCTGGGGCAATTAAACATCGCTATCCTAGTCTTGTTAGTACCACTTTCCAGTTTTAGCTTAGCATTTAAGCCCATGGTGTGTTTTGTTTCAGCTGGGGACTCTGTGCTGATGAAGGCGCCCGACACATCAAAGCCTCCGTATGTGGCCAAGATTGAGGAAATCGAGGCAGCAGGACCTCGGGGCGCAAATGTCAAGGTTAAAGTGCGCTGGTACTACCGACCGGAGGAGTCCATTGGTGGGCGCAGGCCATTCCATGGCGAAAAGGAGGTGTTCCTCTCTGACCACCAAGATGTGCAGAGTGCTGACACCATAGAGTGCAAGTGCAACGTCTACAGCTTCCGGGACTACACCAAGCTTTCTGCTGTCAATCCTGAGGACTATTTTTGCCGCTTCGAGTACAAGTCAATCACAGGCAGCTTTGTGCCTGATCGCATTGCTGTGTAAGAATTTAAGCGAACCTCTGTTTTTCTATATCATATCTTACTACTTCATAAATTTCAATATTTTGCTAGCATCTTTAGACAATTAGTTTGATACTGAAGGCAGTTGAGCAAAGTAGTCATTTCATTTGATGGCGTTGAGTGAGTCATTGTTTCTTACTCCCTCCGTCCGGAAATACTTGTCGAAGAAACGGATGAAAATGGGTGTATCTAAAACTAAATTGTGTCTAGATACATCCATTCTTCCGACAAGTATTTCCGGACGGAGGGAGTACTTATGGTTTTCCTCCATGAATCAACCTATTGTTTTTTCCCTCCAAAACCTTTGGCTTTGTGCTCCCATGGTTGATAATTTATAATTTGTTCTCTCGTTACCATGATTCCATGAGAGATGAGTTTATAGGAGATACTCTCTACTGTAACCCTATTAGTCCTTTTGGGACATGATTCACTGTGTGTTGGCTATGTTCTGTTGTGCCAGATTGAACTAGGTACATGATTTACCAGTACTGTTGCTGCAACGTCTGAGTCTCAGGGAAGCCTTTATAAGACCTGTCTTGTTGATTTTGGCCAAACTATATCTTTGCTCTCTTATAGTGCTCTTTTTGACTAGCATGCATATTACCTTTTGGGATACATTGTATCTCTCTTTTATGACAGACAAAACATGTTTAGTTTTTTTATTGAAATAATTAACTGCCTTCCATCTCTTGTTGTAACAATACCAGGTTTTGTAAGTGTGAGATGCCATACAACCCTGACGATCTTATGATCCAGTGTGAGGAATGCTCTGATTGGTAAGTTTCAGGTTATGCATTCATTTAATTTCTCTATATCAGAACGGTAGTAACACGGAGGCTGTCTTGCATTTGTGTCATTCAATGAAGTCAAGATGTTGAGCATCCTATTACCTTCGTAAAAGCATGGTCCTCACTAGCAGCGAAGCAACTAAATTTCACAGGGGCAAACTACACAACTGATAAAGAAGGCTCTTAGTAGGCTAATAAGTTAATCTACCACTGGTTACTGCAATTTGATAGTCTGATACTGAACATCAGAGAAAATTTGAGTACTAATGGTTCATTTTGGGCTGTAGTGTTGCATAGTCTAATTCCTGGCTTTTTGATCGAAATAGATAGCGATTCCATTTTTTGTGATATCCACCTGAGTGAGTTGCGCTTTTGAGTTCTTGACTTTCCATAGATTGTACATTCTTCACATGCATTTATTGTCTGCAAGTAAAAAGTTGATTACTCCTTTTCACAGAATTTTAAGTAACCATTGCTTAATGATATTTATAAACAGCAGTGCTACACGTACGACAACTTTCCATCCGATGCCGTACGACACTAGTCAGTCACCCTTGGATCAAGTCATTACTTTAGGAACAGACGCAGGATCACCATGCCGTACGCAAATACGATAAAGTTAGTCGTACGCAAAGCAAATTCGATTTATAAATTCCAATAAGATAGTGAGTTGAGAACATTATAAAGTCTTCACATACATCATCCATTTTCATGTATCAGCCTCTCTGTAGCACTTTCAGCTTTTTGAGAATTTTGGCAAACTCGTATCTTTCAACAGCAGTTTCAGAATATCTTGTCGATGCCCTGAAACATTGTGCCCTCCCAGGTTTCACCCTGCTTGTATTGGAAAGACAATCAAAGAAGCAAAGAAACTTGAGAATTTTACATGCGAAGGTTGTGTTGCTGAAAATGGAAATGGAAATGGAAATGGAGTCAAGAATGAAAATTCGCATGAATCTACAGGCGAATCAGATGAGAAGGTAATTAATCTGATGCTTTGATTGATTAAATTGTTGCTGCGTCGGTTCTTCATTTGTATCACAAACAAAACCAGCGGTTCAAAGGTTATTCTAGTTTAGTGGAAGTAGGCAGAGATGATCTTGCATTTCCCAACAGTCTGCAATTCCATTTCCCAACAGTCTGTAGTGTTGCATTTCCCAGCTGCCTTGTATTTTCTTTCTTTTTGAGATATCCGTCATGTATTGTTGCCTTGTTGGAGGTACATATAACTGCTTTAAAGAAGGATGGACCTGGCGTAGTGGTGAAGTACTCCCCACTTGTGCCAAGAGCCCAAGAGGTCCTGGGTTCGGCCTCTCTGCATTGCACTGTGCAGGGGTAAGGCTTGCCTGGTATAATCCTTGCCCAGACCCCACATGGCGTGGGACCTTCTAGCACCGGGTCTGTCCTTTTTACATATAATAACTGCTTAAGAGTAGGGGCCCATTGGCCGTTGGGACCCAACACATGGAAATACATGAGTAGAAGAAACACATGAATTATACTACTCCCTTTGTTCCTAAATATACGTCCTTTTAGAGATTCCAATAAAAGACTACATACGAAGCAAAATGAGTGAATCTACACTCTAAAATATGTCCATATACATCCGTATGTAGTCTCTTATTGAAATGTCTAAAAAGACTTGTATTTAGGAATAGAGGTACTAGTATATAGGAATGACATCGAAACTCGATGTAATTGAAAACAACCGCTGGCATGATGTTTCCGTCGACATGTCCGTTATATGTGTGTGTGTGTGTGTGTGTGTGTGTGTGTTGTGACTAATTGATCTCTGCACTACGTTCAGCAGGTGCAGTCGAAGCGGCGACGGCGGTGAAGGCGAAGGCGATCTGGGCGGAAGTCCTCCATCTCTTCACGCATGTGACGCGGTGGATGTACATTGCTGTTTCCAGTTTGATGTAGAACGAACCTGTATTGAGAGTCTCTTCTAGAGTCTGGCATTCGGCCAGTTTGCGACTTTGCATATCCATGTGGACCTACCTGTTAGAGGGAGTAATTTTTCTCTCTTCTTTTTTCCTTCCCCCTTCGTGTTGACATGGACATTTGTGAGTGAGCTTAAATGCCCTTTCTTCATTGACTAGACAAACAGGATACCATGTTTTTTTCTTTTTTTTGGGGGGAAGAAAGAAAGAAAAGAAACAGGGTTTCAAGTGAATTCCCTTCGACTAGGAAAAAAGCTCAAACTGTTTTTTTTGACGAAAAACAACTCAAACTAAGGCCCATCGTACGAGCACCGACGTCGTCGCATATTGGCCCGGTACGAGCCCATCTTACATGCCGGGCCGCACCTCAATCACCGGCCCATAACTAAACCCCGCGGCTTATCCCCACCCCCGGCGCTGCACTGATTGACACCACCACCAGTGGCAGCAGCAGCAGCAGCAGCAGCACCGCAATGGCGACGCTTCTCCTCCCCTCCCACGCGGCCAGCCACCACCGCCGCGCCGTCTTCTCCGGCGGCGCGCACCATCACCCGCTTCTCCAGCCGGACCTCCTCGGGGACGCCCTGCACGCCGCGGCGAGCAGGAGGCGCAGGCCCATCGCGGTGGCGTGCCGGGCGGCGTCAGCCGCGGCCAGGGCCAAGGCGCCCCCGACCGCGAACGCGGGCCCGCCGCCGCAGGCGCTGGCCAAGGAGGCGCACAAGTACTTCGACCACGCCGTCGTCAGCGTGCGCGCGGGGGACGGCGGCCACGGCGCCGTCCTCAACATGCCGCCGGGCCCCTCCGCGGACGCGGCCCCCGCCAAGACCCGCGGCGGCGGCGGCAGAGCCGCCGACAAGGGCAAGGCCAAGAAGGGCAGCGGGAAGAAGGTGTCGTTCAAGCGGAACTACGATGGGTCGGTGTCGCTGCCCGTGGGCGGGCACGGCGGCGACGTGGTGCTCTACGCCGACGAGGCGGAGGAGTCGCTGCTGGGGTTCCACGCCAAGGCCCGGCACTGCGCCAAGAGGGGCGGCAACGTCGGGGCCACCGGCACCCTCAGCTCCCGGATGCACAACGGCTTCGCCGGGGAGACGCTCAGGATACCCGTGCCTGTAGGTTTGTAGCCCTGGTGCTGTGAACGCGGAGCATTATTATTATTTTTGCTCTGTCGCTCTGTGAGGTTAGGTGTTCGACTCTGATGCCTTGCCTGCTCACTGAATTGCAGGTACAGTTGTGAGGCGCAAGAAAGGGTCTGTTCTTGCCGATTTGGCTCATCCTGGTGATGAGGTGCTCGTCGCTAGGGGTGGACAGGGCGGGGTGAGTTGGTAGATGTTATGCTATATTGTCGTGTTAGAATGTTAACACAGAATGACTGAATTTCTGTCTCCAAACGCGTACGACACTTAGCAAACATTTCGACAACTATGCTAGGAGCCATGGGTTTTGCTTTAGCAATAGCAGACCAAAGTTATTCCTTATGGACAGCACAGATACTAAAGAGCTTAGTAACCATTTCATGATGATGCTCTGGTTTATGGCACTTGCAGGAAAACTGTGTAAAGTGCTTGCTAAGTATCGTAGTTAACCAATTTTAACATGTCAAGATGCATTTGTGTAGTTTCAACTCATTCAAGTTGAATCGTTCAACCCCTGAACCTGTATCGGATATTATACTCAAAGTTCATTCTGAGGTCTGTATCGGAGTCTATAACTAGATTGTTACCGGGTAAGATTGTGTTACCAACGGATGGCATTTAGGACAGTAAAATTGAGCCCAATCCCAGCCCTCGCACGCCTCCTTCATTTTTGGCCATCCGTTTTAGTGATGAGGCGGTTATGTCCGTCGGATCTGCTGTTTCTTACGACCTCCAATGCACGTTAAAATCCCTGGCCCAATTGTCCTAAAGGGCTGCTGCTCCGAGAGAAAAATCTGAGCTTGTATATGACCAGGTGGGTATGGAGACAATTGCACATATCCGTCACTGTGACTAATTGAGATGATGATAACCATGCCTATTCCTCTGAAACAGATTCCAGTGTAGCTGAGTATGTGATTACCTCATGTAAAACAGTGTAGTGGACACTTTTCATTGTTTTCTGATATTCTTTTTCATTTGGTATGATACATATGCTTGCTAATATTATTATGGTTTTACATATTTACTTCACTTCTGCAGATTAGCTTGATTGATGCGCCTGATTACAAAAGGGGGAAAGCCATGGCTTTATCGCCTAATGTCATGCGTGATGTTACTGATAAGGTAAGTTGTTACCTATGAAATAATCCTGGATTTGATGTTATAGATTCGATGCTGTTTTTACTAATAAGTTGTCTTATTGGGGTTGTTAAATTGGGGAAGGATTGATTGGAATAAATGCTCTGTGTTTCTTATAGTGCACTGCTTGTTAAGTGTTTATTTTTATTTTTGAGAAAATGCAAAAGTTTTGTGGCTCATTGTATTGAAAAGGTAGGAACAAACTTCCCGTCAAAAAAAAAAGGTAGGAACAAACTTAGTTAGTAATTACACACCCAAACTTAAGTACTCCCTCCGTTCACTTTTGTAAGTCGTTTCAGACAACTCAAAATAGGCTGTTTTGCACATTGTCTGAAATGTCTTCAAGGTCTTATAAAAGTGAACAGAGGGAGTAGTAATTATACATACCCACTGGCTACACTAATACCACACGAACAAACTTGTGCATCAGAGAGCATAGTGTAATCTAGTTCTCTGCCTTCACTCGAAGTTCACACATGTCCAGCAATACTCTAGCTGTTTGCATGTATCCAATTGTTGTTCTGCCTATCGCAAATTACCAATTGAGCGGTAAACAACAGATGCTCAGCCACTAATGCCAATGAGTACGTGCGGACTCTTGAACCACTGAACAGGTGCTATTCGTTGTTGTTTGGTTCTATACTTCTATCAGTATGGTGTAGGATTATCCAAAGATTTCAAATAACGACATCTTTATTTGCTGCTTCATTGTTGTTTGGCTCTGTACTTCTATCAGTATGGTGTAGGATTATCCAAAGATTTCAAATGACATCTTTATTTGGTGGCTACTATTCTCCATTTTCACCTCCATTTTTTTTTGGTGATTTTGTATCATCTCTTGTTTCTGTAGGTATTAACTCATGGCCAGCCTGGTGAGGAAATAAGCTTGGAGTTAATCTTAAGGGTGGTTGCAGATGTTGGCCTTGTGGTAAGAGTGTTGCACTACTACGTACATCTCATGTGTATTTGCTTTTGTTTTTCGTTTTAAGGAAAAAAAGTGTTCAGATCATTTTCTATATCCAAGAGTCGAGATATCAGATGGCTCTGCTTTAGAAGGGTTGCAATTGCTAGGAGTCCTTTCCGTTTCACTTTTAGGGTTCAATGTTGGATTATCAGGTTTTCACGGCTTGCTTCAGATCTATTTCTTTGGCATATCACAATGTTGGCCTAATCGTCTTCATTTGCATTTTCAGGGACTTCCAAATGCTGGAAAATCAACACTTCTATCAGCTATAACACTTGCAAGACCAGACATTGCTGATTATCCGTTCACTACATTGATGCCAAATCTTGGCCGGCTTGGTGGAGATCCCACTTTAGGGGCTATGCAGTTTTCCTCTGGAGCAACATTGGCAGATTTGCCAGGTCTTATTGAGGGCGCTCATCTGGGCAAGGTACTGCTTTCTTTTGTGTTATTTGCAAAATATTTGTTTGAAGATAAGGTCTTGTTGCTTCCCGTGGTTGGCCTCTGTGGATTCATCATGTGGTTTAATTACACTGCAGGGTCTTGGTCGCAATTTCTTGAGACATTTGAGGAGAACGAGGGTAATTGTCCATGTCGTTGATGCTGCTGCTGATGACCCTGTGAACGATTATAAGATTGTCAGAGATGTAATTTCTAATTGCTTTCATCATTCCTAAGTCATATTCTGTTTTGAAAATTGCGATCACATTCATTATATAGTCTGTCCATAGTTATAGCCCTGAACCTGGAAGCTGTTGTTACACTAACGTCAGTAGTGAGACAGTTTGACATGTTTGTTTATCATGTGTTGGGGGCATAATCTTATTGCCAATTGTATATAGGAAGTTTAATCAATAGAACTAAAGGGAAGGGATTGAAGTAGCGGAACTTGCACCAACAATTCTGTTGGCTGTTAAGTGTTAAGTACTACTCCCTCCGTTCCTAAATATTTGTCTTTTTAGAGATTTCAAATGACTACCACATACGGATGTATATAGAAATATTTTAGAGTATAGATTCACTAATTTTGCTCCGTATGTAGTCACTTTTTAAAATCACTAGAAAGACAAATATTTAGGAACGGAGGGAGTAGATCCCAGTTGGCAACTTGGCAGGATTTGTAGGATAATAGTTGCTTTGCTAAGGGAGTGCAAAATCTTATATTTTGAATGCAAGTCTTGTGAAAAACTGAATCATATGTCTATGTTTGTTTCTTAAGTATTATAGCTTTTGTGTTGAATGATCATCTAACAACCATCTCTGTACAGGAATTAAGGATGTATAACCCCAAATACCTGGAGCGGCCTTATGTTGTGGTCCTGAACAAGATTGATCTTCCTAAGGTGCAATTTCATACTTAATTTGAATCAAACTATGGTTTCCCTAGTTTTTAGCCTTTACTTTTCTATTTCAACCAATCTCCTGAAAGTTTGATCTTTCTTGGCATTGGTTGGAGTCCTAACAATTGTTTTCCTCCTTGTAGGCCCAAGATAGGTTATCTTCATTAGCACTTGAAATATCTTCAGTAGGCTGTGAAGAATGCCACGACAACAATACCAGCAAAGAAAAGCTAAATGAAAATTTCAACAGACACCATATGTCAGAAGACGATGATAAGGAACTTGGGGACTATCCAAGACCTCAAGCTGTAATCGGTGCAAGCGTACTGTAAGTCTCCTCACCTGACCAACTAAACACATGTTGTACCGTGTTCTTAAACAGCTCATAATATTGGATATTTGGTTAACCTGTGCACAATGACACAAGCGTACTGCAAGTATACTTAATCTGTTGTTCCTGTTTAATGTTTGCTTAAGTTTGTGCTTGCATTGCTGTTCATACCACAAGTTTTTTCGAACAGTGCTTCAACTGTCCTCAAGTTGTACAAATTGAACATTTTTCACTTTAGATTCCTCGGTGTTGCAAGAAGCTGTTCTTTTCTGCCGCTGTAAGATCTCATTTCCATTGTTTTCCCACCCTTTGCAGGAGGCACATCGGGATCGACGAGATGCTGAAGGAAATCAGGACAGCCCTGGGAAAATGCTCCGATCACATGTCACCAGGACCATGAATCTGAAAGCCTGCATGCTGGAGCCCTAACATGAGTCCAACACCTGGAAAGGATCGAGCCGGATTGAATGGTTCTTCGACAACAGCGTCAGTTGAGTCTGTCCTTGGCTCATGACGCCGTTGGCAATTCCTGGAGGACAAAAACTACCAGTCTGATTGTCCAAAATCCTGACACGGAGCGCTTCGGTGTCTGCCACGTTAGCTCGAGCACGAGCAGTTGCAGATATCCAGGCTACACCTCCATCTGTATTCAGTGCTAGAGATAGAAATAAATCAGTTGTGTGAAATATTGAAAAACTAATGGGGACTCATATATATTCGTGTGCACGTATTAGTGAAGATTTGAGAATCATATCTTCCGTACTAAAGGACTAGTAGAAATTGTCTATATGGACTCATTAATTGTTCTCTCTGCTTTACTTATATAGCTGAGTAACTGACAAAGCTTTGGCCTTTACCAAATAGTTTGCTTAATGTTCATATTTGTTCTTCATTTACACATTGTCCATATCTATATGTATGTTGTGCTATATATTGAAAACTAGTGTCAACAAAAATGTGCACATTTTGTGAAGGTTTGTTTGATATCCACATTTCTTTTAATGAATTGCTAATAGAAAATGATCAACATAAACAACTCATCCCTTGTAAATATCCGGTCTTGGCTAATTTTAGTAAAAATATCACATTTTTTTTATTTTTAATGCTCATATTTATTATCTTTCATTTGCACCTTGTCATATGTATTCAGCGCTAGAGATACAGTGAGATATTGAAAAAACTAATGCGTACACATATACATTTATGTGTACATATTTGTGAAGATTTGTGATGCACATTTTCCATGGAACCAGAACGTAAACGTGTTCTGCAGATATACATGCATGGACGTTTTCAAAATTGTACTAAGGCAGCGACAGTTAATTTGGATCGGAGAGGATACGTTCTTTCATATCTTCTGAAATGAGTGGCTAGCAGAAGACCAGACTCGTCCTTTTCATTTACATTAGACCAGACTTGTCCTTTGTTGTTATTTGATCTCCGGATAATATAGCAAGATAAAGTATTCACATTCATAAATATTTCGTTTTAATGTTCGCATTTATTAACTTTCATTTACATCTCGTCCATATGTATTCAATAATAAAGATGTGAAGATATAAGTTGTACCCACTTTATTTGCGAGATTTGAAACTCACTCTTCCCTGATAAATGGCCACCAGAAATTCATCTATATAAAGGACTCATCCCTTGTAATTCTCTTGCATCTCATCATGTCTAAACTTAATCTAGGATTACATATTCTTGCCATATATGCTGTTTTCGTTGCTCACCAAATCCATGGAGGTGGATTGCATCCAACCAACCAAAAGGTAAGCGTGTTGTTCCTACAAATTTGAGTAATTAGTAGTTCGAACCAAGGGGTGATATAGCAGCGAAAATAGAAAGGATTGTTCATTCTATAGAAAAAAAATATTCCTTACCAAAAGAAGGTGAAAATAGAGAAATGCAACTATGTGATGAACTACAACCATTTCTCTCATAGCGAAGGTGTAGGAATTTGGAGTATAGGAGTTGTTGGGGTTATTCGAACTGGATTTTCTTTTAATTTCCTAATTTTCATCTTTGTACTATGTATGAGTGGTTTTTTTATATGAATGGCAAATCTGCATGGTTTGATTGCCACAAAGGCATGGGGATAGGGCTGGTGCCTCTTAGATTCGATGCATGGTACATGATTGGCTGATTTTACACATTATAGTTTGTTTTCTAGTCTTTAAAATGTATATTTTGTACTCTACATGTTTCATTTTAAGCTATGCGTATTTAGTTCTACCTTTAAAATGTATATTTTGTGCACAGAAGGTTTTTTAGTCACCCGCTATAACTATTTAAGCTATGCATATTTAGTTTTTCCTTTAAAATGTATATTTTGTTCTCCACATGTTTTATTTTTTTTAAAGCAACAAAAGCCGAACAAGCAATATCTGGATTGCATACTCACTCTGAAGCCTTACAGGCATGATATGCACATGCTTCTCCATCAAAAAGTTCCAATGACATCGTTTATGTGAGTCACTCTATCCTGGAACTTTTAACAAGCCAATGTTTTCTTACCGTCACTTTCAAAGTTTTTAACTTTCTGCCTTCTACAGTTTGCGACACACAGGACACATCCCGGTAGCTACTATGGACTTGCTGCTACAATGGATGTGTACGGACACAATATCAGTGCTGGTCATATCATAACATCTATTTGGATTGCTAACATGGAGGGTGATCCAAAGACAGATGAGAATGCAATTTGGGTCGGGTGGCAAGTAAGTCGTAATTTACATATATTCTGATTTTTACAGATTGTAGCCATCTTACCATCATTAATTTGGACGTACTCGATGCCATTTATAATGCTCTTAATGACTCATCAGTTTCTTCCCAGGTTGACCCAAAAAAATATGGGGACTCACATACTCACTTCTTCACGAGTTGGACGGTATGCTTCTGCCTTTTCACTCAAACTATGTCCCTCAACTGTAGCACACAAAGCTAGAATATCTAGTGACCATATAACTTTGTGTGAAACAGAGAGACACATATCATACAGGGTGCTATGACATGGACTGCCCTGGTTTCCAGCTTGTTAAGGGGTCAAAAATCGCTCCGGGTGGCACAATACAACCAGTCTCTCATGTTCATGGTGTACGTCAAAAGATTACAATTAAAATGTTTAGGGTAATTAACTATATCTTGCTAGTATACTTCCCAATTGTAAGCATATTGATCATAATGATCTAATCACATGTTGCTGAATTTGTGGCATACATTACTCAAATTGCTTCTATTACATGGCAGGAAAAATCCACGGGAAATTGGTGGATACACTACGGCTTCAATAAGGCCCCAACACCGGTGGGCTATTACCCAGCAAAATTGTTTGACAAGTTATCGAAGAAGGCGACCCAAATTTCAATTGGTAGCATTGTTGGGGGGAGTCCGTCTATCCCATCCCCTCCAATGGGTAGTGGATTCTTGCCTTCTGATAAAGCTGCATTAATCACAAATATTTCACTCATTGGGGAAGATGGCAGGATGACACCTTTTACTGTGAATACAGACAGGTTACAGAGTAAGAGTAGTTGTTACTCTATCTCACCTATCCAAGGTGCAAAATGTTCCTATGGAGGTCCAGGAGGTTGCTCCGCCTAGCTTAAGTAGATTTTACTCATAAATTCCTTGCCCTTTTGTCTAAATGGTTTAATACTTGGAGCCCTACCATGCTCTGCCTTTCCTTGGGAAAGTTATACTTAAATACTTTGGTATAAACACCTTTCCTTTCCATTGGTCCGATTATCATAATAATCCCATTTTCCTTTCCATTGTTTTGTTTCACATTTCTTGTAATCTAACTTGTCTGAGCAGAGGTAAATCCCTGCTTAGGTAAGCACCTCGGTGTACAACTTTTGTCAGTAAGACCCTGTTACTATTGTTGATGACATTCCGATAACCACCGATGGACGAGAACTTTGCCTATTGGTCCGCCTTATCTTACGAGCAGGAAAATGGTTCTCTTTGTCCCTCGCCCTTGGTACCAACGTTGTTGGCGACATAACTGACAGGCTATCCCCTGACATGCCTTTCCCTCATGACCGTGCAAGATGTCACCATTCTTCCTACCTTTAACGCACATTGTGTGGCCATAACCCACAGTTTCACAAGATCGAAACCCGACTCTCCTGCACACCCTTGTTTCTAAGGTTATTTCTCACGCTTGGCTTCATATGAAAATCCTGAGCCGCCTTCCGAGAGGCGATCTATTCTGGTATCAGACGCAATACTTATTCCCATTACTCTAAACCCTTTTCACCCCCTTGTTTCAGGCAACAAACGATTGTCTACCAGGTTGAAGCTTCTTATTGCACCTCACCTTGCTCTCGATGACTTTCTTGACTTTCAACTCGAGAGATGCCTCTATGCCACGTTCACTGACATAGTCCCCACGTACCTATCTTGTGTTGAGCTCCGTCCTTCCCGAGTCTTTCTCCTTACTCCACCTCTTAAATCTCGGGACGAGATTTCTTGTAGTGGAGGAGATTTGTAACAACCCCAGTGTCATGCTACAGTAACCCTCTGTGATTAAGCTAATCATTTTTTCCAAACAGTGCTTAATCAGCTTTGATTCAAATCTCATTTGAAATTCCACTTTGGAATCAAATTCAATTTGCAAGTGAATTTTGAAGTTGCACAAAAGTTGCTGCAAAATAGTCCATCATTTAGTAAAAATTCCATAACAAATGATTGTTAAGGAAAACAACATCACCTCCAAGCTAAGATGGACTATAGCAAATTAAAACAGTGCCAACTCAGCAAATTAATTTCTTTTCCAAATTCCATCTAATTCAAACTTCTTCCAAACTTTTTGTGGCTGTGTCAAACATTGCATTGTATTTATGTGGACAATTCCCATGTTTTACAAAAAACATTTTGGCACCCCCAAATATTATAAAACCCTTTCTGTAAAGAAAAACAAAAAAAGGAAAAGAAAAAGGAAAACAAAGGGGTGGGAGAGCCCCTGGCCTTCCCATGGGCCTCGTCCCACTCCAGCTGGCCAGCCCACTCCCCCTCCCCGGTCGATTCTCTGTGCCCCTGACCCCGTCGCTGCAGGAGGCTGGTCGCCGCCGAACCACCTCGCCGGCAATGCCCCCCGCGAGAGGATAAGGCTCCCCTCGATGCCTCAGGCCTCCTCCCCCACCTACCTCCACCCACTCCCAGATTGCCCTCGCCCTCTCCGCCTGCTCGTCGCCTCTCCCCCTTGTTCCCCATCCATCTCCGAGCGCCATTGCCGTCGCGTCTTCGTCATCTCCGCGGCCACCGTGCCTTCGACGCAGCCTGGCCATACTCGTCGGCATCGCCATGGACTGCCGCGTCCTCTGGAGCCACGGGAAGGAGTCGAGGAGCTCTGCATCGCCGAACACGTCGTCATCTTCCTCGGGTCGCCGGCGATCCCCTTCGTCCCCGGCGATGTTCTGCTGCTCCTAATCTCCCAAGGGCCATCTTGCGTGCCGCACGGTGAGCTTCTCCGTCTCCTGCTCCCCTCCGTTAGCCTCTTCACATGCCTGCTACGTCTTGAGCTTGCGGTTGGTTTTCCTTGAAGAGGAAAGGGTGATGCAACAATAGTAGCGTAAGTATTTCCCTCAATTTTGAGAACCAAGGTATCAATCCAGTAGGAGGCTCCTCAAAAGTCCCACGCACCTACACAAACAAACAAAGAACTCACAACCAACGCAATAAAGGGGTTGTCAATCCCTTCACGGCCACTTGCGAAAGTGAGATCTGATAGAGATAGTATGATAAGATAAATATATTTTTGGTATCATATTTTATGATATAGATTGGAAAAGTAAAGATGCAAATAAAAGTAGATTGAAAGCTTATATGATAAGAGATAGACCCGGCCCCCATAGATTTCACTAGTGGCTTTTCTGAAAATAGCATAAGTATTACGGTGGGTGAACAAATTACTGTCGAGCAATTGATAGAAAAGCGAATAATTATGAGATTATCTAGGCATGATCATGTATATAGGCATCACGTCCGTGACAAGTAGACCGACTCCTGCCTGCATCTACTACTATTACTCCACACATCGACCGCTATCCAGCATGCATCTAGAGTATTAAGTTCATAAGAACAGAGTAACACATTAAGAAAGATGACATGATGTAGAGGGATAAACTCATGCAATATGATACAAATCCCATATTTTTATCCTCAATGACAACAATACAATACGTGCCTTGCTGCCCCTGCTGTCACTGGGAAAGGACACCGCAAGATTGAACCCAAAGCTAAGCACTTCTCCCATGGCAAGAAAGATCAATCTAGTAGGCCAAACCAAACTGATAATTCGAAGAGACTTGCAAAGATAACTCAATCATACATAAAAGAATTCAGAGGAGATTCAAATATTTCTCATAGATAAACTTGATCATAAACCCACAATTCATCGGATCTCGACAAACACACCTCAAAAAGAGTTACATCGAATAGATCTCCACAAGAGAGGGGGAGAACATGGTATTGAGAACCAAAAAGAGAGAAGAAGCCATCTAGCTAATAACTATGGACCCGAAGGTCTGTGGTAAACTACTCACAACTCATCGGAAGGGCTATGGTGTTGATGTAGAAGCCCTCCGTGGTCGAATCCCCCTCCGGCGGAGCGCCGATGAAGGCTCCAAGATGGGATCTCGCGGATGCAGAAGGTTACGGCGGTGGAAATTGTGTTTCGGTGGCTCCCTGAATGTTTTCTGGGTACGAGGGTATATATAGGAGGAAGAAGTATGTCGGTGGCCGCTCGAGGGGCCCACGAGATAGAGGGCGCGCCCAGGGGGGTGGGCGCGCCCTCCACCCTCGTGGCCTCCTCGATTGTTCCTTGACTTGCACTCCAAGTCCTCTGGATCACGTTCGTTCCAAAAATCACGCTCCCGAAGTTTTCATTCCGTTTGGACTCCGTTTGATATTCCTTTTCTTCGAAATACTAAAATAGGCAAAAAAAAACAGCAATACGGGCTGGGCCTCCGGTTAGTAGGTTAGTCCCAAAAATGATATAAATGTGTAAAATAAAGCCCATAAACATCCAAAAGGGCAATATAACATCATGGAACAATAAAAAATTATAGATACGTTGGAGACGTATCAAGCATCCCCAAGCTTAATTCCTGCTCGTCCTCGAGTAGGTAAATGATAAAAACAGAATTTTTGATGTGGAATGCTACCTAGCATAATTCTCAATGTAATTTTCTTTATCGTGGCATGATTGTTCAGATCCAAATGATTCAAGATAAAAGCTTATAAAACATAAAAATAATAATACTTCGAAACATACTAACAAATAATCATGTCCTATCAAAATAGCATAGCCAAAGAAAGCTTATCCCTACAAAATCATATAGTTAGGCCATGCTTCATTTTCATTACACAAAATACTCCCATCATGTACAACCCCGATGACGAGCCGACCAATTGGTTCATACTTTTTAACGTGCTCCAGCTATTTTTCAACTCTTACACAATACATGAGCGCAAGCCATGGACATAGCACTATGGTGGTATATGGTGGTGGTTGTTAGGACAAAAAGGGAGAAGATAGTCTCACATCAACTAGGCGTATCAACGGGCTATGGAGATGCCCATTAATAGATATCAATGTGAGTGAGTAGGGATTTCCATGCGACGGATGCACTTGAGCTATAAATGTATGAAAGCTCAACAAAAGAAACTAAGTGGGTGTGCAGCCAACTTGCTTGCTCACGAAGACCTAGGGCATTTTGAGGAAGCTCATCATTGGAATATACAAGCCAAGTTCTATAATGAAAAATTCCCACTAGTATATGAAAGTGACAACATAGGAGACTCTCTATCATAAAGATCATGGTGCTACTTTGAAGCACAAGTGTGGAAAAGAGATGGTAACATTGTCCCTTCTCTCTTTTTCTCTCATTTTTTTCTTTTTTTCTTCTTTCTTTTTTTTTCTTTTCTTTTTCTTTTTATTTGGTGGGCCTCTTTGCCCTCTTTTTTATGGGCTTCTTTGGCCTCTTTTATTTTTATAAAGTCCGAAGTCTCATCCCGACTTGTGGGGGAATCATAGTCTTCATCATCCTTTCCTCACTGGGACAATGCTCTAATAATGAAGATCATCACACTTTTATTGATTTACAACTCAAGAATTACAACTCAAAGCTAGAACAAGATATGACTCCATATGAATGCCTCCGGCGGTGTACCAGGATATGCAATGAATCAAGAGCGACATGTATGGAAATTATGAAGGTGGCTTTGCCACAAATACGATGTCAACTACATGATCATTCAAAGAGCAATATGAGAATGATGGAGCGTGTCATAATAAACGGAACGGTGGAAAGTTGCATGGCAATATATCTCGGAATGGCTATGGAAATGCCATAATAGGTAGGTATGGTGGCTGTTTTGAGGAAGGTAAATAATGAGTGCATGATACGGGCGAAAGTTGCGCGGAATAATAGAGGCTAGCTAAATGGAAGGATGAGTGTGCGTATATCCATGGACTCACATTAGTTGTAAAGAACTCATATACTTATTGCAAAAGTCTACTTAGCCCTCGAAGCAAAGTACTACTACGCATGCCCCTAGAGGGATAGATTGGTAGGAAAAGACCATCGCTCGTCCCC